ACTTTGACAAATGAGTTAGTTAGAGATTTAGCTTTAGTGATATATATATAATGTATAGCTTACAATTGTTTAATAAAATATATATAACTAACCTGACAGAAAATTAAAAAAATAAAATAAAATAAAAATTTTTTTTTAAAAAAAATATTACTCTTTTTATTGATTCTCTATCCATATACAAAAAAGATATTCACAAGAAATATTGTATTTCTTTACTAATAGAGTCTTAATACTATCCTTAAACCAATATAAAGTTTTACTTTAAGAGATATTCCCAAATCTCTTCTCTTGTTTATATTTGTTTTTAAACAAAAACTTGATTTACTATGACCTAGAAAAGTCAAGAAATATCTTCTCTATTTATGATAAGAAAGTTCTGTAAGGAAAAAAAACTAATAATATAGTATTTGAAACCTTTTATATTGAAGTATATATATAGAGAGTATTTGCAATAAGGGATGATAAACATAAAGCCATATTTCAAAATATCTATCTATTGTTTCTTTCCTCTTATAGTTATACAAAAAATTTTTTTGATTTTGTAAAGAATTTTATTTACCTCAGTTTGATCTTAAATTTTAGATGACACAATCTATTGCAAAATATAATTAATGGATATGAAATATGTTAATAGCTTAATATAAATAAATACTTACTAGTCATCTTATATATTCTGATAACATTATTGATGATAGGAAAAGTTAATTGGTATCCTATTTCTGTCATATTTTTTCAATTGGATTAACTTATAGATTAAGTACTATAAGGCCAATAAGATATAAATAACAAATCTCTAGATAATAAAAAAACTATCATTTGTTCAAGTTGAAATTTTTTTCTCTTCTTATTTTGATTAGACAAAGTTCAAAATTAAGGTCTTCTTTTTATTACAGTTAGGTAATAAGACTGAACAATTTCTGGTTTATATTAAGCTTCAACTCTTTGGTTATAGTTGAGAATGTATTTTTACAGAAATTGTTGAAAGATATTATAATTGATGAGGATTTTCGTCATATTTAAAACCCTCCTATTATTATAAGACAAAAGGTTATTAAAGAATTTGGCCTTTTGAGTAATAGAAGATATATACTAGTAAAATTTCTTTAATTAGGTATGGTTGCTAGAAAGTATTATATTGAAACAACATAATTCAGTTTCTACTGGATCACATAAGAATCTGGGATCTATTATAAATCACTTCTTTATTATATGTAGATAAAAAATCACTGTTTAAAAAAGTTGGAACAAAGTATGTCCTGAAAGTAAAGGTTTCTACTAGATGATAAGTCTCCTTAGACAGTATACAAAAAAAAAATCAAGATCAAGAATAAATAAGTTTCTCAGATAATTAAAAGAAGAAAGAATATCCCAATTAAATATTTCTTATTAAGAAAATGTCTTGAGAAGCAGGTTTTTGAAGAAAGCTAGAGAATTTTTTTTTTCCTTTTCTTATACATTCATTTGGACATTTTTAAATATACTTTTTTCCTTTTTTCAACTCATCTTTTTATAGTTTTCTAACTTGGTATAACATATAGCAGTGATAATTTGCTGATAATAATACAATAAACTAGGAGAGTTTTTACTCAAAAACATTATAGAGTAAAATATTGTTCTCAAGACTGAACTTAGAAACTTTTATACTTACGATGAATTAGTTAAATAGAATAAAAGTAATTTAGCTGTATTATTTATTTATTTATTTTTAATCCATCATTAGGCTAATATGACTTATCTTTATTGTATATTTAAAAATATTATATAATTTAAAAAATTTTCATATAACAACTCATCCATTTTAAAAGTTTAACTTCTCTAGATACAATTTAAAAGATGATATTTTGTTTTCTTAATAACTTGGATGTTTAGTTATAGTATTTATAATGCTATTCAAATGAAAATGTATTTATATTTTCAATTGATTAATAAATTTACAATCTAGCCTGACTACGGATACTCAAAAAAAAATAAATAAAAAAAAAATAAAAAAAAAATTTTTTTATTGCTAATATATCTTATATTAATCAATTATCTTTAATAAAATTTATATTACTTTAAAATTCAAGATTAAAAAATTAAATAACTATAAAAAAAAAAATAGATAAAAAAGTTTTCAAGATTTAAACTTATATTTATTTATTTTTTTTTATTACAAAAAACTTTTATATATTACTCTTGCTTTAAGAAAAAAGATTTTTAATATTGATTTTTTTTTTAAAAATACTTTCTTGCCATAGGTAAAAAAAAAATTTTTTTTTATCAAAAATCATTTTTTTTTCCTCCTTTGTTTTCTGAAACACTTTTTTATTTAGTGATTGACTGAAACTTGACCATTTGTTCATAGTTTGAAAAGAATAAAAATATCTTTCAAGTTGCTTCTTGTGAACATTTTTAATATCAGTTATTTAAAATATACAGTATACCGTATATATATAAAGACAAACTATATTAACCGTAGATTAAAAAAATGGACTTGAAGTTTATATAACATTGTATAATGCTTGATTCGGTTATTGGATAATTAGTGTGATGTCATACCCGACATAAATTGTAAACAAATCACGAACTAACTATAAACTCCCGAATTGATGTAGTAATGACAATTTCTAAATGCAAATTGGCAAAAGAAAATTGTATTTACTTTTTTGAAAAAGAACGAATAAGGTCAAATGTCTTTGAATAACCGAAAAGTATCTAAACTTCCTACAAGCCGCATCCGAGGTGTTCTTAATTCTCCGGGAAAACTCCGAAATGTTAAGGCACCTTCGGTGAAAAGGATTACGCCTTCAATTGATTCTCAGAGTAAACTCAGAAATGTTAAGGCACCTTCGGTGAAAAAGATTACGTCTTCAGTTGACTCTGGTCGCACAACTCAAAGAATACCACCAGCAGGCATCATTAAAAAAAGCACTACTGTTCGTAGCCGAATTCAATTTCCACCGCCACCACCCCAGCCTCCTTCACAAACCGAAATCTTACAAGAAAAAAATGCAATTCTTAAAGATCAAATTGAACAGTTGGTTAAAGAAAAAGAATGCATAAACGTCATAAGCGCACAGTGTAAAATTGAAATTCAGGAGATAGAACGCGAAAAAGAAGAGTACACTGCAGAAATTGCTAAGATAGGGGGGCGAGTGAATAATGCGCAGGCTCGTAAGAAAGAAGTAGAAGACAAAATTCTAGATTTGAAAAAAAAATGTGAAGTTTTGTCTGACGAGAAATCTGAATTGACTTCCCAAGTTGAAATTTACAGGAAAGAATTTGAATTGGCTCAAAATTCCATTCGGGAACAAGATGAAAAGATCGCATTCAATTTAAATCTTAATCAAGACTTGACGACTAAACTACAAGAACACGAGTATCTTCGACGAGACCTTCATAACTTAGTTCAGGACCTTAAAGGAAACATTCGCGTCTTCTGTCGAGTTCGACCACCTCTCGAGTCTGAATGTGATGACCTCGCTGACTTTAAGTTTCCGAAAGAAATACCAGTCAGCAGAAAAATTTCCCTCGCTTCAACCACAACCAATTATCGAGGGTTGAAGAAAGAAAGATTAAAGGATTATGAGTTTGATCAAGTATTTGGCCCTGAAACAACACAGAAAGAAATTTTCAATGAAGTTGCGCATATAGTTCAATCAGTTGTAGATGGATATAATGGGTGTATTTTTGCATATGGTCAAACTGGTGCGGGTAAGACCTATACAATGGCAGGCCCTAATGATCCAACACCGGAAACTGAAGGAATGATCCCACGTGCAGTTCGCCTGATCTATGACCTCATACAGAACCTTAAGGCACAATGTTGGGTGTTTAAAATGGAGGGTCAATTCATTGAGATATACAATGACACCATTCGGGATCTGCTTTCAATAAATCTTTCTCATTCTAATGGTACAAAATATAAAACGGAACACGATGAAAATACTGGAACAACAAGAATTTTAAATGCAAAAACTGGCAAGTGTTCTATCTAAATGCATGAAGTTCCTGCAACTGCACGGCTCATGATTTCTTTGTTCGATTATTATTATTTTTTTTTCTTTCGGCAATAGTGAACCTTGACTCTCCTGAAACTCTCAATCGGGTATTAAGAGTTGCCGCTCAAAATCGTGCAGTTGCTGCAACAAAATGCAATGCACGATCATCGCGCAGCCACAGTGTCTTTATGATCCGACTAGCCGGAAGTAATGATAATCTGAAAGAAAGTCGAGTTGGTTCGTTGAATTTGATCGACTTAGCGGGTTCAGAACGACTCTCCAAATCCGAGTCTAAAGGTGATCAACTTCAAGAAGCTAAGCATATCAATTCTAGTCTGAGTCATCTTAAGACCGTGATTGAAAAAATCAGAAAAGATTCGAACCATGTGAACTTCCGGGATTCTCCATTAACTTGGCTTCTAAAGAATTCTCTTGGTAAATTTTATTGCCGGAAATCTTATAACTTTCATCTTGGCGTAATTAAATTTTTTTCTACGATTTATTAGGTGGGAAGGCAAAAGTCCTCATGTTAGTCAATATCTCACCGCTTGAATCGTCACGATCAGAAACCGAGAGTAGTCTTGATTTTGCAACGTGTGTTAACTCGACACATGTGGGCTCGGTCAGAAAGAATTAAATCAAAAAATTTCACATATTTCGTTAGTATATATGAATCAAATAATATTTTAATGTCAGGGTTTTAATGCAAGTCATTTTAATCAAGCATCGAAAAAATTTCACGCAAATTCTTTTTTTCTTTCATTTCTTTTTTCTTTTTTTCTTTTTTTGAATGGGTTGACAAAATAATCTTTCAAGTCGGATTTATTGTGAATTAGATTCAAGCACTTTAAGTCGATTCATAAATTATGTAATAGCTTGGTAAAAGTTAACATTTCTATTTAAAATTTTCAAATTAAATTTAACCTATATAGTTTTATAATTTTTTTAACTCGATTGAAAAAAAATTTTTTAAACTACAAATGATACTAGATGCGAGCTTTTATTAAGAGTTAATGTGAATGGATCAATAAATTCTATAAGCATTATATCAGTTATTTTACACAAACCATATACTCTATATACAATATATACAGATTAATTATAGCCTATTACAGTTTATCTAGATAGGCCCAAAATTATTTTTAGAGTGACTAGTTAATATTGTATATAGTATTATAGGTTCAACTAATATTAAAATATTAATAATCTTATGTTTTATTAAATTTATATTTTTAAATATACTGTATATTCAATAAGAATAGAATATTTCTTAATATTCTTAAATATTATTTGCTCAGATCTCAAAAGAAAATATATTATTTGTTTTATTATTATCTATAATATTAGATTAGATCTTATTGATTAATTTTTATTTAAGCAAAACTTATTTTGAATTAAAGAATAAAAATATTTATAAAATATCTGTAATTAATTAAAACAAAAACCTTTTTTTATATAATTTTTCTAATAATATAATTATAGATTTTAACTATAAGTGACAAAAAGTTGGAAGTTATATTTTTATATAATTTAACTTAATAAAAATAATTTTCGAATAATTGAATATAACTTTTAATGCTTATTTAATAAATCTATATAGTATCAAATTTAATTTTTTATAATTAATAATCTAAAATATTATTATTATATTATAAATCTACAAATTAAAACTAATTCAAATTTTAAATCTAATTAAAATTAATTAATTAATTTGAATTTAATTAATATTAATAATATTTTTTTTTTAGTATTCGTAGCCAGGCTAAATCGTCAGTTTATTAATCAATTGAAAAAAAAGTACATTTTCATTCGAGCAGCATGATACATATTACAGCTAAACTATTATTCTAATCTAACTAACTCATCATAAGCATAAAAGCCTCTAAGTTCAGCCTTGGGGACAATATTTTGCTCCATAGTGTCTTTGGATAAAGACTCTCCTAGTTTACTGCATCATTGCCAGCAGGTTGTTACTGCCATATGTCTGACCAAGCTGCTGGAATATAGTAAACTACAAAAGAATGTGTTGAAAAAAAGGGGAGAGAGAATATCTAAAAATGTCTAAACAGACACATAGTTTCTATTTAATATATTTATATTACATTCAACTCTTGAAGTTATCCCTCGAAAACTCCACAAGTTTACTTAGTAACTGTACAGTATATTTCATTCATATCTCCTGTTTATCTATACGTATAAACTACTTCTTTATATTATGTGCATATTAAATAAGCACTATATATATCAACTATTTATTAATATCTATCTATATATAATTAGTTACATTGATTATACTATATATATAAGCACTACTTTTTCAGGAAACTGTGCAATTCCTTCTTGATTATTCTTAACACAATTTTTTATTAAGAGTAGACTGGTTATCAAGTCGTCAAATTTTCTTTATTCTGGATTCAGTTTTTGATCCTTCAGAGTGGTCAATGGATTTTTTCTTCCACCAAGGCCTCCTGATAGTACTGGCTAAGGCTGTCCTCATAGCCTAGCATATGATAGTCAGCAGTACCCTATCAGTCGATTAGATCTATTTTTCTTATTACCATTTCCTAACTTATCACTAAGGGTAACGCAATCAAGTCAGGATAATTTTAACTGATTTCAGATCGCAATATTTATATAGACCATACCACATATGATATTCAATCCCCTCTGATTGTCATGTAACTATATGCAAAAATGTCAGAATTTGATTAGGCCAACAGATATAAGTTCTACCAAACTTCAGATACTGCCTCCTGGAGGATCTAAACTTGCATCTTGTGATCTGACCTATGGAATGCTAACCATTGCACTATTGACCTATAGGTTAATATTAAT